TACTGAAGCAATTCCGGACAGCCGCGGTTGATAAGCAGTTATTGGAGGGTTGAGGAAAGCAAGGTGGAGCTTGGCAGATTTTGATTGGCCATAATGCAGTGACAGTGCTCATAGAAAACAAATGAAATTTCATATAGTAAAAAATAACGTATTATAAATATTCTGGTCTGTGACACTGTGGCTGCGTCCCTGAGTAGACTACTGTAGTATCATAACGGCGCTGTTTCTACATTTAATCTCATGAATAGAGAAGAGTGAAAAAAAAATCCTTCTGAAACTACCAAGGTCCGGACCTCGCTGTCCTTATAGCTGGTTACGGCCATGAAAAAGATTCAAATATACAAATATTCAATGTAAAATATTTTGGAAATTGTTAAAATGGAAAGTATACTTCAGCATACTTGTTATACGACCTCATTTTACAGCTCAGAGAGAGAGTATCAGTAAGGCAGGCAAGTGGCTTCTCATCACTGTGCGTATGACATCATCAGATATCTAGGTCTCTAACATGCATATCTTTAGCTCAGCCTCATGACATCAAAGCTTGTTGTTTCTACTCATCATGTGAGGGAGCGCACAAGTGCGTGGCGGCCTTAGAAGACTCCTAATTGCCATTTAATGATTCGCTTTCGCACGGAATTTTATCCGTACCGACCAAGGAGCTTAATGACAAAAGAATGGTGGAACCAATTACGGCCGTGCAGGTTGATAATGGTGTCACACTTATCAAATGGAACTAGCAGGGCTTGCAGCAGACATCTGCAGGACTGTGCAGTTCTGCTGGAAATCCACAACATGGCGCCTGCCTGTGTGCTGGAAAGGCCTTTCATCCGCCTTTATTTCTGCGCTTTCTGTACTCTGGAATTTAATTAAAGGCACTTGCGCTTGGGTGTTATTTATAGCACGTCATGTTTGCGGCTCCTTGCGCGTTATCAGCGAAATGTTTGCGAGTGTTATTTACTTGTTATGTAATGTCATTTTTGTGTACGCGCGAGCGTTTGTTATCATTTGATTGCATTCAGGCCCACGGGGCGCCAGTCTGGTCATGACACCACACTGAGCATATGGATTAAGATGTTATGATACCAGCCGGGCTAATTAAGACGATAAACAAGAGTTGTTGTTTGGCATCTCCCTCCCATGCATTCCAATCTGTTCATCTACTGAGAGGGAGAACTGTGGGAAAACTGAGACACACACGAGCAGAAAACACACTGACTGGCTGCACTTTTCTATAAAACAAGCTGGCTGCGTTGCTCACACTTTAATCCAGTTTTTAATTGCTGGATTCAGGGCTCCATCAGTCAAGCGCAGAAGTCATTCTGTAATGCATCGCAGCTTAAATCAAGGTGGCTGAACTTTGCTATGCTGGCAGACCCTGTCTAGTTTTGCTCATTCACATTTAACTTACAGCTCAGATTTACAGTGGAGTCCTTTAAGGGTAATTGCTCTTAATGCTATGAATGAAAACAAACACAAGCTGACACTGTTCAGTGCAGGTAGAGGAGGCTGTGTGGTGTTGAAAGTGTAAATTTAAAATTAACTCAAAATGAAATAAAAGAAAAAGGTGCAGTTTTTAATAGGTTCCCTGCCTTCGTAAGTCTGACACCTCAGCCCAGTGGTGGATATCAGGACCAGCGAAGATTAAGTGCATGTGGAAAATTACTGGTTTAAGTCTTTAGATTTTACGTTGTGCAGTGGGTAGCACTGACGCCTCACAGCAAGAAGGGCCTGGGTTTGATTCCCCGGCCAGGCAACCAAGGTTCTTTCTGTGTGGAGTTTGCATGTTCTCCAAGGTCTGTGTTGGTTTCCTCCCACAGTCCAAAGACATGTGGTCATGTGAATTGGAGATGCTAAACTGCCCCTAAGTGTGTGATTTGTATGTGTTTGTAAATGTGTGTGTCTCTGTGTCTGCCCTGTGATGGACTGATGGCCTGTCCAGATTGTTTCCTGCTTTCTGCCCAGTGATCACTGGGCACTGGGATAGGCTCCAACAACCCCTGTGACCCATAAGGATAAGTGGCTTAGATTGTGTGTGTGTGTGTGTGTGTGTGTTTGTGTTGTGTCCGAGAAGACCAGTATATCCAACATTTCTAGCTTGAGGCTTGTACACAGTATGTAGTACATCAGACTGCCAGTTATTTGTGATCTGCTGAAGCATTAAGATTTCCCTTCACTGGAACTAAGGGTTCTAGGCCAAGCCCTGAAAAACAACCCTATATCATTATCCCTCCTCCACCAAACTTTACAGTTGGCACAGTTCAGTCAGACAGGTAACATTCTCCCAGCCTTTGCCAAACCCAGATTTCAGTATCGCCAAATACCGATTTTAGTACAAAAACTATTTATCTTTCTCATAGCTGCATAGATTTTTGCCTTAGCCAGATGCAGCTAAACTTACATGAATAGTACTAAAGTTCCTGTTACAAAACCCTCCCTCTGGCTCCACCCTTTTCTGACTCTGGCCCATTATGAACCTGCCCTGGCTCCTCCCAGTCATTATTTGCACCAGTGTCTTATTTATTTGCGTTGCTTTCAGTTGTCTGCAGTTAGGTTTCTTTGTGTGTGTATATGTGTGTGTGTCCTTGTGTTGCTGTCTTTGCAAAATTTCTTAGCCTTGCACACGTTATCTGAGTTTTTTTTTGTCACCTGTTTTTGGGTGACCTGTATAGTACCTAGAAACAAGCTGGCTATTTGATATTGGACCCCTGCTGAAGAGCTGCCCTTGCCCAAAATTAATGACCTGGATTTTTGAAAATACTCTTTTTAATACACTGACTTAGCTCATGCTTCCACCTACCACTCATTCATCACAGTTCATCACATGTGTGAGGAATGAGTGAGCGAGCAGTCAGACACAGCCTGGACCACTGGACCATCTGGTAAAAAAAAAATTTTTAACATCTGGTTCATACAGAGTGTTAAGGCTCTACAGAAGTCCGTAGTAAAGACGGAAAACTTCACAGAAGACTAGCAGCCCCGATATCTAAACCTATAGCTGCTGCGCTAACAATGCTGCTACAAAAACAGTTGAAAAAGTGCCAAAGAGTCAAACCGGTAAACAAATGTATTATTTATCAAAGTAAAATAACTGAAAAGTAGCAGAACAATGTAACTACCAGTAAAGGAAAGCCAAATCTAAACATGTCAGTCGCATCAAAACCAGTTTGTTCCCCTTATTATAATTTTGAAAAATCATCATGACATATGGGCCAATAGAAAAATGCTGATAGATACGATCCACAGTTACTTACATTCAAGTAAACAACCTCTTCCTTTAAAGTTAACGTTTTGGAGATACCAGGTTTTGTGACAACACAAGAAAGGCAGCTCCACTGTTAAATAAGTCTGTTCATGACTGTGAGGATTGATTACTTAGTCATCACAGGACACCTTTTAAAAGTTTGAGTCAGAACACTTTTACCAAAGTACCAGACTAACCAACGAGGATCAAATGAGTGGAATACGGATAGTGTCCTCTTCCACATTCCTCCTTTGATTTGCTTGACTTCCTCCGTTCCGGAGCCTTGTTGTTATTCAAATAACCCTCCCAGCGAGAAAAGTAGAGAGCGAGAGCTGGCAAACTTGGGTTTCTGATTTTGTGTCTTATCTCCCCCGGCAAGAGAGTCAGCGGGGCAGAGCGAGCCGTAACTTTGGAGGCGAGTTTGAAAAGCTGCAGACAGTGGCGAAAAGATGAATTTCATAGATCTTGTCTTTCGGGATGGCTGCACACGCTTTCTCATTTGTTTTTCTGCACAAGCACTCATTCCCTCTTTCCCTCTGCCTGCCGGGCAGCCGGAGATCAGGCACGTGTGAGGAATAAGCGAGCGAGCAGTCGGACACAGCCTGCCATGCAGGACGGCCACATGTGGGACTGACACAACAGAGCAGCCCAATTAGAGCTTTTTCACTGTGCTGTGATGATGATTGACAGTGTAGAGCTGTGTTCATGAGCTTTTGTTTATTGACAGGTTTTGGAGAGTTACACTCTTACACTCGTACACAAGTGCACTCATAAGGTGTTGAAGAGATTAGGTTCTTTAAAATGAAGTGTTTCAAATGGTTCTTGACTTGGATGATTCCAGGAAAACCATTTTCAGAGCCCCTATCATGGAAAATCACATTTTTCTTGCTTTTTTCATATAAGGGAGTTTAATGTAGCATTTAAACGTTGTTTTAAATCACATCATTCAATCCACAGTCTGTACAGTCCATATATGGAAACTCAACTACAAAACCTTTATTGAATTAATTGTTTTGTGATGTCACAGAAACCAGCACATATATTTCCATCTGTTCAGCCTACAGCAGGTTAGTTCCATCCATTCACGCTGAGGTTATAAGCAGTGTTTCAGCTTGCTTTCAGAGTGAGACACAATACAGCACAGCCAATCAGAAAAAAGTCATAAAGTTGTAAAGGCGCAGTAACAAAAACAGCCTGTTTAATTCTAAGGGATAAAGAAAATGTTATATTAAAAGGAATTATTATGAATTATTGTTCTCGTTGTATAACCCCCCCCCCCAACAAACATTAGAAATGGACCTCAGTGAAAAGAAGACGGTTGGATGTGGCCATTTCAATTGGTTTTGAACGTTTATACTATTTTAAGGTTTGTTAACGTTCTTCACAATCACAAACCTCATTTACAAAATTGAAAATAATGGAAGAAACATTGAGAAGAACCAAGTCTCCAAAGAGGAACCTATCCTTCTGTGGGCCACACCAGCCAGGATTCCTACAGCACAGGTTTAGAAGAAGGATTAGCAGCATAGAGGCAATGGGATTATACAGAGGAGAGACCCAGCTGATTAACTAGCGACCAAACTGAAAAGTCTCTTAAACATTAAGATTGATTATTTATTCCATCATAGGAAACCGACTGAAACTCCTCCAGAGAAGCTCAACATCTGCCTTGCTTGATGGGACAGTGTTTTGTTGTGTCACTCTATGTACTATAGGTAACATTATGTTTCTGTTTTTCTTTTATTTTTCCTCCCAGAGTCGCCCACCGAGCGTGTGGGCCGCAGGCGCAGCATGCCCGGCAGCACCATGGACAAACCTCCCCCCACCATTGAATCGGCAGCCTCCACACCCTTCAGAGTCACGGTAAGCCTGGACCTGCTGATAGCATAATTATCATGGGGTTTATTTATAGGACCAGCTTGAAATAAAAATGTGTCACCAATACTGATTTTAGGGTTTTAAAACTTCTGATAACTGATAATCAGTGATGCACTGAATTGAAAATATGGAAACCAAAATTCAGAATACACTCAGCCATAAACTAAAACCGTTATATATAATTTGTATTTTTATTGATGCTTTTGATGCCGCTATAAATGGAAAAAACCTTGTTTTTTAATAAAGCACAAGTATGTGGCTTTGGAGCTCCCTTCTAGCAATCTGAAGTTCCTCCAGCAGGGAGCGCTGTTGGTGTTTGCCATTTAGAAAAGAAACATCCACAAACTGATGCAAAACCAGACATAAAAAGGTTTATTGCCAAAAGATGTTGAGATACTCGGCATCATTTATGTGATTTTCATTGAAGAGTTGTAGAATAGTGGACTGTGTTTGAATCTTTCACTGTTGATCTGCTGCTGCTCAAACTGTTTGAACACATTAGTGTTTACCAGCACAGGAGAGCGAAGGACACAAGCAGTGTTTTGATTATTTGTTAATTGTCAGATTTTGATTCTTCCTACTGCTTGACCAATTTCCTCTTTTGCTTATTTTGGCCAAATTTTTCAGCTTTCTTCTGTATATGTATTTTTACTCTAAATGCAACTTTTGACAGTTTTTGGCCAAAATTTTCTGGTGGCTGAAATTTTGGTGCATCCTAAACTAGGGATGCATCAGTACTGATACAGATATTGGGTATCGGTCCAATAACGTGCTCATTTACTCGTACTCATAAAATGCGCTGATACCAGTATTCCGCTACCAGCTGTGACGTAAGCTGAGCGTAGCTGCCGTGCTAATAAACACACACAGTGAAAGAGGCTCTGCTCACACAGTGAAGTGTTCTGACTCCATGACAGTCGGACCGAAAGCTGTCGGTCATTTCAAACATTCACCTTCAATCAGGAATACACTGCATGATTTTAGCCCATTTTAAACACACAAACACGATCACAACCGCTTCCCCAGTACGGGTGAAGATGTACAGGTCAAGTAAATGGAGGGAAAAAAAGTCGAGGTTTGCTTCCAAAGTCCATCTGCATCTGTTTACTCTGCTTGACTGAATACAGTAACGAGGTATAAACTTTAATACTGTGATTTTTTTTTTTGTAGAATAGGCTGTGGAGAAGCCGTGTTGTCCTACCGTGTACATCACCGCCTGGCTTTTAGCTTCAGTGCACAGTGTCAGCCAGTTTGCTCTGTACTCAGTGCGCAGCATGTTATTTTGAATGAAACAGCTTTATTTTTCAAACTGTCCGCAGACAGAGCTGTGCTGTCTGTAGAGGCTGCGTTTTCTGTATAAATCTTTGGCTTTGTCTGCACACGCTGAAACATACAGCGTGAGTCACCAAAGAGCAAGATCTCTAAAATCACACAGGGTATGTCTGTCTTTAGAGGACGTTCAGCCACAGCTCAACCAGCCAAACAAAATTCTTCCAACAAGATATAAAACTCAAAGTTGGATGCATTAGCCTCGGATGTGATTCCTGCTGTTGCTGTGCTTCTCCATCCAGAGTAACTATAGCTATCTAATGCACTTCATTTAAAATCATTAGATTTTCATGATTTATTTTTTAAGGTACATTATACTCATTTACACCAACAACTCAGTGCAGTATAGGACTAGTATCGGCAAGTACTAAAAAATATGTACTCGTACTCTGAAAAAACTGGTATCGGTGCATCTCTAATCCCAAACATTAATATCAGCTGATATAATTTTATATGTCCAAAATTTCAACAGGATCTTACTGTTTATTAGTGAGATTATAATAAAATTCTTAGCCTACTTACCTCAACAGCTGCTGTCTAGATGGGATGTATGGCTTCCATATCTTCGTGTGATGGCCAAGCAAGGCCCTGTATTCACAAAGCAAGATATTAACGCCCCTTAGTGTCCAACAGGTTGTTTGGTGGTGGTTGAAAACAGTATCACATTCTTGAATGTAGTTTTCTTATATAACATTTAAAACGACTTTAACAAAGCTTTATCGATGAGAGTTCACAGATGCTGATAAATCTCGGAAGCCTCAATCAGCTGAATGTTGCATCGATTGGATTCATGCAATTAGATTTTTTTTTTTTTTTTTTACATGCAAACCACCTCATGAACTTGGCTCACATGCTCACTTACTCAGTCATGTTTAGGGGGAGCTTTTGTACTTTACTGAAAGTGAGGAAACGAATTAGCAGGACCTCACAAATACACGTTTGCAGTCACACATTGCAAGTATATACAGTAAAAGGCCTGAAAGACGATATACGATGCATACAGTGCTGCTGCTGCAGAACAGCATCTGCTGGATTGTGGAGATTTTGTTTGCATCTAACATTTACTATTTCTTTGCGTTTTGTCAAGAAGCTCTTGCGTAGATGCTGTAACAGCAGAAATTTGCGAGGCATTGCCTCTCCGGCAGCACTTTACGCTCTGAGTGCTGTGGAACTGTGCTCCACATTTTGAGCAATTGACTCTGTCTCTGTTTATCAGGATTAGTGAACCGGGGGGCCAGTGTATGTAACTCGGAGGCTAATACCTTGGCCACGTTCACGTGAGTGAGTCACAAGGTTAATCCTTGCAGATGTGACGTGTCAGGATAATGCAGGTGTCATTAGATGCGCACAGCCAGAAAAAGAGACGTCCTTCCACTGCCTTCACTTTAACTGCCTTCAGCGCTGTAGCTCTGCTGCACAGGGCCTGCAGCTTTGCTGAGAGCTTCTTCTCTGTTCAGAGACAGCACTGCCCAGCTCCTGCCAGGCAGTGACCCAGACGCAGCTGGTCTCATCCACCCTGTGGGCAGCCTGAGGGGCAAACCTGATCTGGCTTACTGACAACCTTAAAGGAAAAGCCTGACAGAAATCAAATGTGAATGCTAACATTGCTAATTGGATGAGAAAGCTAGTATCCCCTAGTTAGTCTGATGCAAATGATATCATACTAATTGAGGTTACCATTTTCACTTCCTATTAGCTATGTTAGCGTTCTGGCTAGGCTGTTCCTTTATGCTCTGTTTTTTGTTTTTAGTCTCAGCCGTGTGTGATGACTTCTCCTTACCTCTCTTCCCTTTATTCCCAGGGCCCTATGTTTCTTAAATGAAGGAAGGGGAAGGAAATTCTATGCTCCCGTAGCCCCTTGTTTCAGTTCCATGTTGCCTCAATTAGGCTTCCTCAACATGAAATTGAGAAACGTCGTATCTCTGGTATATTCACAAACATACATATCCTGATGTTAAATAGTCATCTTCAGTGAATAAGAATCTATTGTGTGATAGACAGTATTACTAAAAAATATTATTTTATTTGAACTTCACAATGTTAAGAACATTGCAAGACATCACCAAAACTGACATTTCTGTTAACATTGGAATCTTTAAGCACATCCTCAATTACAACATCTACAGTTATAATTTAATATGCCCTCGTCCAACATTTTCCCTTTTCAGGAATCCCTAATGCTATGTTAAGTTTGTTACTTTACTCTTTGGTGACCCCAGGATCATAATCAAGACCAATCAATCAATGTAGCATACTGGGGTATGATGTGTTTTATAAAGAGCTGATGGAACATAGAACCCTAAGAACATAGAACTCTTGTAACATAAGACACTGGGAATATAGCACTCTTGTAACTAGGACTCTCATGACATAGAACCTTGGGAAAATATGACTCTTGAGTCTCATAGTGTAGGACCCTGCGAAAACATAGGACTCTTATAACATAGGACCCTGAAAATACTGGAAAAATAAGACTCTCGCAAACACGGAACCATCGTAACATTGGACTATTGTAACATAGGTCTCTGGTAACATGGGGCTCTCATGGCATAGTACTCTCATAACATAGTACCCTGGGAACATAGGACTCTTACAACACAGAACTCTTGTAACACAGATCTCTCATAACATATGACTCTTGTAACACAGGAGTCTTGTAATACAGACCTCTCGTAACATGGGTCTCTCGTAACATAGGACACTGGGAGAATATGACTCTCATACCAGAAACCTTGGGAAAATACGACTATTATGACCCTGGAAACATAGGACTCTTATAACACAGAACTTTTGTAACATAGGACTACTGTAACATAGGTCTCTGGTAACATAGGCCTCTCATGGCATAGGACATAGTACCTTGAGACTAGGACTCTTGTAACACAGATCTCTCGTAACATAGGACACTGGGGAAAATATTACTCTCGTAACATAGGACTCCTTTAACACAAGAGTCTTGTAACAAAGAAATCTCATAGTATAGGACGCTGTGGACTGGAAACATAGGACTGTCCTAACACAGAACTCTCATAACATTGAACCATTGTAACATAGGTCTTTGGTAACATAGGACTCTCATAGCATAAGACTCTTGTAACGTAGTACCCTGGGAACATAGAACTCCTACAACAGAGAACTCTCATAGCATAGGACACTGGGAAAATATGACTCTCTTAACATAGGACTCTTGTAACGTAGGGCTCTAGTGACATAGAATCCTAGGAACATAGGTACGCTGCTGTTCGCATTGATCTTGCATTGCTAGGTAGTTTTCACTCAGTGGTGTCGCTTGTGTTGTGTGTAATCAGCTGGAAACATGTCAGCAAAAAAAAACTTGATACTACATGATAATTGAAACCTGTTTGCCTGGGAGGCATTAATTAGCCTTTAGGCAATATAGCCTTAAAGACCTGAATCGAATGCTAATACACTTTTTGTCCTGGACCCCTTTAGGCCTGAGTGGAGGCTAATGTGCCTTTAGGCTATACAGCCCTACAGGCCTGATTAAAAGGCTGCTGTAGTACCTCTGGAGGATATGGATGCAATCCTGGCTGGTTTGTGTGTGATAACCTGACAGATGGGATGACAGTCCTGCTGTGTATGTGTGTGTATGTGTGTGTATTATGGTCTTTCAGGCACAGCTGGCCATGGCTGCG